GTGAAGCATCAGGCAGTCCTTCAGCTGCTTCAGAATATCTTGTCTGCAGCTCAGCCGGTCAATCTGTGGAGTAAGATCCCATGGAGACAAGCCCTCAGGGAATGGTCTCAGCCAGGTCGGCAGCATGATGCTGCGGATTTCTTGCTTGTGCTGGACAGACAACTTCAGGCAGACTGCTTCAGTACAGACTGGCTAGCTTTTCATCAGGAGCACGGAGGGTGTGTTGATACAGGAACCTCATGTCCACTTGCGCTTACCGCGGTGCATGCAAATGCCTCAGTCCCTGAAAGCAGCAGTAGGGTCTCAGAAACTGTCTCGCTACAGAATGTTGTGACTTTGTGGCATCGGCAAACCGCCGTTCATGCACTCGCCTCAGGTGCGCAAGCATGCGCGCTGCAACTGAGTCGCTTTAGGCTAGTGCAGGGCACTGCCAGGAAGGTCCTTTTCCATGCTTCGATTCCACATGAAATACAGATCCCTGTTTGGCATGGAGCCGGAGTGCTTCACACTACCTACTGCCTCCAAGCCATGATCGTTCACTTAGGGGAGTCGATGCATGCAGGGCACTATCGTTCTGTCCTGGTGAGGGATGACAGACGATGGTACTACACGAATGACAATGCAGAAGCCGTGCTCGTTCATAGAGACACTGATTTCCGAGAGATCGCTCAAAATGTTTACATCGCTTTTTATGCTCGCAAGTGATTCGTGCTCCAACGTGAAGCTCAGGATTGTGGTGTTACCACGCCGAGCACTGCCACAGTTCAGGATGGGATTGCGGTTTATCCGCGCCGTCCTCAATTCTTTAACTACACTTTTCACGCCTCTCTCTCGAGGGAGTTGGGCTTCTCCTGTAGGCTGCCTAAGGGCTCTTCGGAGCGGGCCTACAGTTAGCTGGCAATAGGCCAGGTGGTAGTCACCAGGAACCTGTCCTGCTAACAGGTCGCTTAGCACTGCTCCTGTCTCTACAATGGGACTCAACGCACACAGTGCTGCGCTTGAAGTGAAGTGAAAGTG